TTGACCAGGATCCCTTCAGGTACCAGCCATCTGAAATTCACTCCTTTTCTAATCAGTTTAGTGGTCAAAATTGATATTGTTTCCTCCCCTCTCTTATTCTCCAAGGTATCTGTTTCAATACCACAATTTCCTTTTGTCGGTATTGTATTGGTTCTTCACTGGCCCTTCGCAGTATTTAATCTCTTGTCAATCTTTTCACAGACTTTACATGTACTTCACGTGGTATTCTGTTCTTTCTTGCATAGCTTGAATTTAATCTATATGTTTGGTCTATCTCACTTTCCAACTCTTCTTTTTCAATTCCCAGTGCCTCTGCCAAAATGGTTGCCATCAGTTCTGGTAAGTCCTCCTGTTTGTTTATCTTCTGGCATGTTTTGAAATCTAAGAATGTTTGAGGCTCTTTCCAGAGACCTTTGGGTAGAGTGGGCGGCATATAAATTAAATAAACATAAATAAAATAAATAAATACAGTTTGACAGATGCACAGTTTTCTGACACATTTGACTATAGGAAACCATTCTGTCAATCCATAATCTATCCTAACAGTTGCTTCTTGTCTACAATGCAGGTTACACATCAGGAGAATCAAGTGCTGAAGCACACCCATTTCTTTGAGAACAACCCATAGCTTCTCATGATCCACACAGTCGGAGGCTTTGCAGTAGTCTGTAAAGCACAGACCTGGAACTCTTTGGTGTGCTCAAGTAACCTGCAGATATCTGCAATAATATCTTGTGCTTCTTTTTCAAAATCCAGCTTTAACATCAGACATATCTCACTCCATATAAGGTGGAAGCCTTTGTTGCAACATCTTGAGAATCACTCTGCTTGCATGAAAAATTGGAGCAGTGTTCGTACAATTACTGCACTCCTTGGCATCTCCATTCCTGAAAATTGGAATGTATATTAAAGATTTCCAGTTTTTGTGCCATTGTTTTGTTTTCCCTATTTGTTGGCATAATCTTGTCAGGTTCTTGACAAATTCAATCTGTTTGAATTCGCTTGAAATAAGTTCTGTTGATATCCCATCTATACCTGGTTATTTATTTCTTACCAGTGTTTTCAGAGCAGTTTTCACTTCTGTTTCTAGAATTGTAGGTTCTTCCCTATGAGATTCTTCTTCCAAAGAATCTGACATTTTCTGTATAGAACTTCAGTATACTGTTTCCAGCCTTTTCTCATTTTCTCTTGGTTAAATAGTGTGCTTCAGTATTCCTAATCTAGGCTTAAATTTCCCTATAGTGGATCTTCTGGAAGATCCTTCTCATTTTCCCTCTTTTGTTGTTCTCTTCTATTTATTTACTCTGGCCGTTATAACAGTTCACTTTGTAGAGACAAAGTCACTGAAAAGTTGTTCAAGATTCTGACCCTATTCCTGTCACCTTTCACTTTTGCTTGTCAACTGTTCTTTACAGTGTTAAGTGTTTCTTCTGGCATCTATCTAGGATTTTCTTTTCTTTGCACTATAAGAATTGTCTTTTTGCATTCTTCCCTAATAATATGTCTGGTTTCAATCCATGGTACTTCTGGTTCTTTATCAATTGAGTTTGGAAACACAAATCTATTCTTTATGTGGATTTTAAAGTGATCAGAAGAGTTTAAATTATATTTTGGAACTAGGATTCTTTTTGTGCTCTTCTTCAGCTTTACTCTAATATTTGATGTTAACAGCTCATGATCAGTGCCACAATCTGCTCCTGCTCTTGTCTTGGTAGAAAGAATACATCTTCTCCACCTCTTGTTTCCAATTAGTTTCTGTATTGGCCATGTGGTGAATTCCAGGTGTACAGTCATCTGTTCAGTTGCTTGTGTATTTGCAATAAACAAATTGTTGGCTTTGCAGAACTCAACAAGGTATTCTCCTGCTTCTTTTTTTACCTGTAGACCAAATTTTCCAACAACATTTGGTTCTGCTTTGTTTCTTAATTTTGTGTTCCAGTCACTTATGATTATATATTATAAGCATGTTTTGGTATGTCATCAATTTCTTCCAGGATACTTACATAAAAGCCTTGAGCAATATCAGATTTTCCTTTCACCTTTGTGCACATTAGCCATTAAACATCCTCGCAGCTTTAATCTTGTAGCATCATTAGCAACAGTGCTATTCATACTTGTGCTTTACTTTTCTCCTGTACAGTATTTGATTGCTTTCAAACCTGGAAGCCCATTAGGAAGCTAAAAAGCTGCTGTCTGATTTTGAAACATTTGCGAGAGAGTTGCAAAATTACCTTTGGCTGCCCAAAGCTAAGGGGGAAATGTGTTGAAACTAATACAGTGAATTGTAATTACTGTATCTAATTTGATGGTTTCAAAGCATGAGATGAAGTTACTGGACTCCAAACAATATATATATCACAAGATGAGCAAAATTTTGAATCTGCTTGCCAACGGAACTCCTGGTAGGCGCTGTCTAACACACCCCCCGGGGAAAGCTGCCTCCGGAGGATTCCCTGGCCTTCCCTGCCACCTATTTCAGTCCCCAAACTGTTAGAATACTTTACCTGATTTTGGTATCATTTGAGCTGCCTCAGAGGACTCTGGAAATTGCAGTCCCACCTCAAGCCCAGAGGAAAATATTGTGGGCAGTCAGGGAACTTCTCTAGTCCTGCGGTGCAGGAGGAGGAAGGAGAGGCGGGGCAGCTCCAGATCATTCACCGTTATTCTTGTTTCCTGGTCATTCCTTTGGCGTGGTATAAACGCAGCTGCAACAGATGAAGTATAAAACTCTTGGTTTCCTGACCACCGCTGTTTTATCTGACAAAAGATCTTTCTCCGCCTCCAGAGGACTCCCTGGCCTTCCCTGCCACCTATTTCAGTCCCCAAACTGTTAGAATATTTTACCTGGTAATGTTATGCCTCTGACTCTTTTCCCTCTTTGGAGTTGTCATCAATTGCCAGCCCTGCTGGTGATTTCGGTGGAGAGACACAAATGCAACATAAGCAGCAAGTTAAAATGAACTTCCCCGCCCTGGATCTCTTGCGCGAGGAAACTCTTCTGGGGTCTTTTCCTCTCTCTTTTTTGGTTATGCTGACAGCGAGCCTCTGCTGCTTTCCAGATTTTTGTCTCTTGAGGACAACAGGGCTCTACCTGAGAGAGGGGCAAAAAGTCTCTGGTGGACCAGATATTTATGAAGGTGATGAACTACATCACAAAGTGGGATGACAAAGTTTGGTCAAGGTATTGTTACCCGGCAGGCCAAACATGGGAGGCCTGCCTTGTTTTCCTTACTGGTAGCAAATTGGAAACAAGGACACTATACAGAAAGCACTTGTCTTTGCTTTGGAACCATCGTTTTTAAAATTCTTTGGACTATTGGGTCCAAAGCCTGGAAGGCAGCCCATCTAGGAGAAGGAAAACTCCGATTTCAAACCTCCACTGCCTTGTGGCTATATCCACTTATG